GCCAACTTTGAAGAAATAAAACAGGAGGAGAAAAAAATGATTGAAGGCATCATGAAAACAATAGGGGAGGGCAATATGACCCAGGTGACAAATTTTCAGAGAATTGGGTGGTTTGCGAGTGGAAGGATACGGCCTGTCAGAGTAACTTTCAAGGAAGAATCAGTTCGAATCAGGATTCTGCAAGAGAAAGCAAGACTGAGGGACAAAGAGGGGTACCAGAGAGTATACCTCGACCGCGACAGAACACAAGAAGAAAGGACTACACTGAAAGAGAGGGTACAGAGACGCAAGGAGGAACGAGAAGCAATGAAAATGAGCAGGACCCAGACACAGGAGGAAGGGCAAACACACCCCACGAATCTCCCACCAAAAGACCCCACCCGCGACATTCCCAACGCAACTGAGCAACCTATACTACAACCCACTCACTGTTCCCTCTGCCACCAACCCCCATATCACAAACCTCACCCCAACAGCTGTCCCTTATGGGCATTCTGACCCCACCCCCACCAACACATACCCCACCTACACCACAGCCCCATACAGGCCCCCACCAAGGCTCTCGCTCCCCCAACCCCAATATACTTGCATGACCACAATGATAGAAAAGAAACTAAAGGTTTGGTACACAAACGCGGATGGAATAACGAATAAACATGAGGAGTGGAATGAAAGAATCAGTGAAAAATCCCCAGACATCATAGCAGTCACAGAAACAAAACTCGCTGAGACAATAACAGACACAATCTTCCCAACAGGATATCAGATCCTGAGGAAAGATAGAAGGAGTAGAGGGGGAGGAGGGGTTGCACTGCTCATAAAACACCAATGGGGATTTGAGGAAATGGAAGGCATGGACATGATTGGAGAAAGAGACTACATTGTAGGTACAATTCAGTCCGGAGAACATAAAGTAGTCATTGGAGTGATGTATAACCCACCACAGAACTGCAGGAGGCCAAGAGAGGAGTACGAAGAAAACAACAGGGTGATGGTGGACACACTGGCTGAGGTGGCAAGAAGAGCTCACTCGAGCAGAGCAAAGTTACTGGTAATGGGCGATTTCAACCACAGGGAGATCGACTGGGAAAACTTGGAGCCACATGGGGGTCCCGAAACATGGAGAGCCAAGATGATGGATGTGGTACTTGAAAACCTCATGCATCAACATGTCAGGGACACAACCAGAGAGAGAGGGGAGGATGAGCCAGCAAGACTGGATCTTGTGTTCACCCTGAGCAGTTCAGACATCGAGGACATCACTTACGAGAGGCCCCTTGGAGCTAGCGATCATGTGGTTCTGAGTTTTGACTATATAGTAGAGTTACAAGTGGAGAAGGTAACAGGAACTGAAGGGGACAGGCCAAACTATAAAAGGGGGGACTACACAGGTATGAGAAACTTCCTGCAGGAGGTTCAGTGGGACAGAGAAATGGTAGGAAAATCAGTAAACGAGATGATGGAATATGTGGCAACAAAGTGCAAGGAGGCAGAGGAAAGTTTTGTTCCCAAGGGAAACAGAGATAATAGGAAGACCAAAACGAGTCCTTGGTTTACCCGAAGGTGTAGGGAGGCAAAAAACTAAGTGCAACAGAGAATGGAAAAGGTACAGGAGGCATAGGACCCAGGAAAACAAGGAGATTAGTAGAAGAGCCAGAAACGAGTATGCGCAGATAAGGAGGGAGGCCCAGCGACAGTATGAAAACGACATAGCATCGAAAGTCAAATCTGACCCGAAACTGCTGTATAGCCACATTAGGAGGAAGACAACAGTCAAGGACCAGGTGATAAGGCTGAGGAAAGAAGGTGGAGAACTCACAAGAAACGATCAAGAGGTATGTGAGGAGCTCAACACGAGATTTAAGGAAGTATTTACAGTAGAGACAGGAAGGACTCTGGGGGGACAGACCAGATGGGGACACCAACAAGGAATACACCAACAAGTGTTGGACGACATACATACAGATGAGGAGGAGGTGAAGAAACTGCTAAGGGACATCGATACCTCAAAGGCAATGGGACCGGACAACATCTCTCCATGGGTCCTTAGAGAGGGAGCAGATATGTTGTGCGTACCACTTACCACAATCTTCAACACATCCCTGGAAACTGGGCAACTACCTGAGGTATGGAAGACGGCAAATGTAGTTCCCATTTTCAAAAAAGGAGACAGAAAAGAGGCACTAAACTATAGACCTGTGTCATTGACGTGTATAGTATGCAAAATTATGGAGAAGATTATCAGGAGGAGAGTGGTGGAGCACCTGGAACGGAACAGGAGTATAAATGCCAACCAGCACGGATTCACGGAAGGCAAATCCTGTGTCACAAACCTTCTGGAGTTTTACGATAAAATAACAGAAGTAAGACAAGAGAGAGAGGGGTGGGTTGATTGCATCTTCTTGGACTGCAAGAAGGCCTTTGACACAGTTCCTCACAAGAGATTAGTGCAGAAGCTAGAGCATCAGGCGCATATAACAGGAAGAGCACTGCAATGGATCAGAGAATACCTGACAGGGAGGCAACAACGAGTCATGGTACGTAATGATGTATCACAGTGGGCACCTGTGACGAGCGGGGTCCCACAGGGGTCGGTCCTAGGACCAGTGCTATTTTTGGTATATGTGAACGACATGACGGAAGGGTTAGACTCAGAAGTGTCCCTGTTTGCAGATGATGTGAAGTTAATGAGGAGAATTAAATCTGATGAGGACCAGGCAGGACTTCAAAGAGACCTGGACAGACTGGACACTGGTCCAGCAAATGGCTTCTCGAATTTAATCCTGCCAAATGCAAAGTCATGAAGATAGGGGAAGGGCACAGAAGACCACAGACAGAGTATAGGCTAGGTGGCCAAAGACTGCAAACCTCACTCAAGGAGAAAGATCTTGGGGTGAGTATAACACCGAGCATGTCTCCGGAAGCACACATCAATCAGATAACTGCTGCAGCATATGGGCGCCTGGCAAACCTGAGAACAGCATTCCGACACCTTAGTAAGGAATCATTCAAGACACTGTACACCGTGTATGTCAGGCCCATACTGGAGTATGCAGCACCTGTTTGGAACCCGCACTTGATAAAGCACGTCAAGAAACTAGAGAAAGTACAAAGGTTTGCAACAAGGTTAGTTCCAGAGCTAAGGGGAATGTCCTATGAAGAAAGATTAAGGGAAATCGGCCTGACGACACTGGAGGACAGGAGGGTCAGGGGAGACATGATAACGACATATAAAATACTGCGTGGAATAGACAAGGTGGACAAGGACAGGATGTTCCAGGGAGGGGACACAGAAACAAGAGGCCACAATTGGAAGTTGAAGACACAAATGAGTCAGAGAGATAGTAGGAAGTATTTCTTCAGTCATAGAGTTGTAAGGCAGTGGAATAGCCTAGAAAATGACGTAGTGGAGGCAGGAACCATACACAGTTTTAAGACGAGGTTTGATAAAGCTCTTGGAGCGGGGAGAGAGAGGACCCAGTAGCAACCGGTGAAGAGGCGGGGCCAGGAGCTAAGACTCGACCCCTGCAACCACAAATAGGTGAGTACAAATAGGTGAGTACACACACACACACACACACACACACACACACACACACACACACACACACACACACACACACACACACACACACACACACGCACACACACACACGCCACACACACACACACACACACACACACACACACACACACACGCACACACACACACCACACACACACACACACACACACACACAACACCACCACACACACACCACACACAACACACACACAACACACACACAAACACACACAACACACACACACACGCACACACACACACCACACACACACACACACACACACACACACACACACACCACACCACACACACCCACACACACACACACACACACACACACACACACCACACACACCACACACACCCACGACCACACACACACACACACCACACACCACACACACCACACACACACACACAACGACACACACACACACACACACACAAACCCACAACACACACACACACACACACACACACACACACACACACACACACACCACGCACGCACCACACACACACACACACACACACACACACACACACACACACACACACACACACACACACGCACACACACCACACACACACACACACAACACACACACACACACACCACACACACACACACACACACCACACACAACACACACACACACACACACCACACACACACACACACACACACCACACACACACCACACACACACACACACACACACACACACACACCACACACACACACACACACACACACACACACACACACACACACACACACACACACACACACCACTGCTGCCGTCCACAATTCCTCATAAACTATTTTAACGTTAGTTTAGTGTCGTGTTAACAAGTTTCAACAACTATAATACCACATAAAATATTATGGGTTGGAGTGAAAAAGAAATAAAAATGATCAGGGAGATATCTGCAATGCAAATCTATTTTTACCATATACTTTTACTGTATGTTTCTAAACATCAAACACATTTCCCCAAGAAAACATTTCCAACCCAGATTTATCAATCGCTGAACTAGAAATTCTTCACGACCAACATTTCCCAATATATGAAAATAGAATGCTGTTCTATATTAACTTTTTTTTATATCCCGAAAATAATATCTAGAAATTCGTAACATCTCGTCAAAGCTGCGTGTGTGTGTGTGTGTATATTATATATATATATATATATATATATATATATATATATATATATATATATATATATATATATATATATATTATATATATATATATATATATATATATATATATAATTTTCCCTACGAATACTAGTAAGTTCATTTTTATTTAATACCCACCAGTTATTATTCTGCCTTTATTATCAGCGAGTTTATGATACAGTTAATTTAGAATGCACCTGTCTCTTTATTATACAATGATACTACGAATAATTTTTTTATATTACAGCCTGAAAACCTCCTGTACTTCAGTCAAGACGAAGACAGCAAGATAATGATCAGCGACTTCGGCCTCAGTAAGATGGAAGACTCGGGCATCATGGCGACGGCATGTGGAACTCCTGGCTATGTTGGTGAGTTTCTTACTCATTTTTGTATTGATATTATATACTGTCATCCCATTGTTTTAGCTTTTTAAGATTATTGCATTTCCACTGAATAAGTTTTATGAAGTTCTCCAGTTCGAAGATCCTCTCAAGAGCTCTGCATGACGCCTCTGATCAAGTGTTGTCACTCCTGGACGCTCTCAAGAGCTCTGCATGACGCCTCTGATCAAGTGTTGTTACTCCTGGACGCTCTCAAGAGCTCTGCATGACGCCTCTGATCAAGTGTTGTCACTCCTGGACGCTCTCAAGAGCTCTGCATGACGCCTCTGATCAAGTGTTGTCACTCCTGGACGCTTTCATGAGCACTGGATGACGCCTCTGATCAAGTGCTGTCACTCCTGGACACTCTCAAGAGCTCTGCATGACTCCTCTGATCAAGTGTTGTCACTCCTGGATACTCTCAAGAGCTCTGCATGACGCCTCTGATCAAGTGTTGTCACTCCTGGACGCTTTCATGAGCACTGGATGACGCCTCTGATCAAGTGCTGTCACTCCTGGACACTCTCAAGAGCTCTGCATGACTCCTCTGATCAAGTGTTGTCACTCCTGGATACTCTCAAGAGCTCAGCATGACGCCTCTGATCAAGTGTTGTCACTCCTGGACGCTTTCATGAGCACTGGATGACGCCTCTGATCAAGTGCTGTCACTCCTGGACACTCTCAAGAGCTCTGCATGACGCCTCTGATCAAGTATTGTCACTCCTGGACACCTCAGGAAGCTTCATCCCAGTGATCGCTGTTTTACCAAGAAATACAACCTGAAAATTCCAAAGTTCACTGCCTATAATACTGTACATTCGGAGTAGGATTTTTTTATGTTTCAGCGTGGCCCCTGTCTTACACAAATGCATGTGATATAAATTCTTGAAGAATGAGACATGCATTCTTCTATACAAATACAGCCTGACACTGACACAATTCTTGATATACTTCTAGTAAGTAAGCATTATTTATTTTTCCACGTTGATGGTAATTAGTGGCAACAGACATTAATATATAATTCCCACTGGAAACCGTACGTCTTGTCAGCCATGTCAAGTTGACATCCATCGTGTTGAAACTCGCCAGTTACTCGTCACAAAGCGAACTCTTGAAAGGAAAAGGAACGAAGCAAATAAACAGTAATCTTTCTTCAACACTCGGAAATATTCTGTTGGTAAAGAGACGAGATTTCGGTGACCCAGCGGGTTTTATGAAACCACAAAGAGATAGGCTGGGTAGGTGCAAGGTGAGGAACAATGAAAGTGCTCGTCGTATCACATCGATTCCCAGACTTTTTTTACTTGACCATTACTTACTAATTTATAAGATCTTCCTCTCATACTATACTCATACTCTCATACTCATACTTCGACAAGTGTGACCATGGCGTAATAGCGCACAAAATGCGCGCTAAAGGAATAACAGGAAAAGTCGGTCGATGGATCTATAATTTCCTCACTAACAGAACACAGAGAGTAGTCGTCAACAGAGTAAAGTCCGAGGCAGCTACGGTGAAAAGCTCTGTTCCACAAGGCACAGTACTAGCTCCCATCTTGTTCCTCATCCTCATATCCGACATAGACAAGGATGTCAGCCACAGCACCGTGTCTTCCTTTGCAGATGACACCCGAATCTGCATGACAGTGTCTTCCATTGCAGACACTGCAAGGCTCCAGGCGGACATCAACCAAATCTTTCAGTGGGCTGCAGAAAACAATATGAAGTTCAACGATGAGAAATTTCAATTACTCAGATATGGTAAACATGAGGAAATTAAATCTTCATCAGAGTACAAAACAAATTCTGGCCACGAAATAGAGCGAAACACCAACGTCAAAGACCTGGGAGTGATTATGTCGGAGGATCTCACCTTCAAGGACCATAACATTGTATCAATCGCATCTGCTAGAAAAATGACAGGATGGATAATGAGAACCTTCAAAACTAGGGAGGCCAAGCCCATGATGACACTCTTCAGGTCACTTGTTCTATCTAGGCTGGAATATTGCTGCACTCTAACAGCACCTTTCAAGGCAGGTGAAATTGCCGACCTAGAAAATGTACAGAGAACTTTCACGGCGCGCATAACGGAGATAAAACACCTCAATTACTGGGAGCGCTTGAGGTTTCTAAACCTGTATTCCCTGGAACGCAGGAGGGAGAGATACATGATTATATACACCTGGAAAATCTAGAGGGACTAGTACCGAACTTGCACACGAAAATCACTCACTACGAAAGCAAAAGACTTGGCAGACGATGCACCATCCCCCCAATGAAAAGCAGGGGTGTCACTAGCACGTTAAGAGACCATACAATAAGTGTCAGGGGCCCGAGACTGTTCAACTGCCTCCCAGCACACATAAGGGGGATTACCAACAGACCCCTGGCAGTCTTCAAGCTGGCACTGGACAAGCACCTAAAGTCAGTTCCTGATCAGCCGGGCTGTGGCTCGTACGTTGGTTGGCGTGCAGCCAGCAGCAACAGCCTGGTTGATCAGGCGCTGATCCACCAGGAGGCCTGGTCACAGACCGGGCCGCGGGGGCGTTGACCCCCGAAACTCTCTCCAGGTAAACTCCAGGTAATACCAGGTTTTATCTGTTGGAGACTTGAAACATCGTTAGTAAATGGATCCACGTAACTGTATTTGTATCTCCTTACTACAATGTTGGTATCTCACATCATTACTTACCCAGTAAGTATTCTATGCTCAGTGGGATCCAATTATTCCCTTGAATGCAAACTTAAGTCAACGTGAACACAATTAGAAGCAGAGTCACGCACACTTGAAGGAGGAGGCGCATGGTAACTAAATGGGTAATCCAAACATCAATATTCTGACTGTTTAACAATAGTAACTTTGTTTATTAGTATGTTCTTACTCTGTGGATAATTTATCAAACTTTATTTGTAGTTAAATAATTTTTTGTCAGGTGTTAAATTAGAGGTCATACAATCACCTCTGAACTACGATAATAGTAAGAAAACTTACATATGTATGATTATTACTCAAGTTAAGATGTTCCAAAAAAAAAAAAATACATTAGCCTCAAAATGAAATGGATCATAATATTTTATCTGTAGATTTACAGACGTGAGCTCAGAATAACATTGATTACGAAACTTTGCGAAATTTAAATAACATAGGGGTTAAATTCCTAAACTTTTGGTTGTTTTCTCTGGAACTTTCGTCAAGTAAGATAAGAAGTTATTTAATAAAATACTGAAGTAATTAACAGAGAGGAAAACTTTAATGACAACTGGTAGTTCGTCTCGGAGGTCTATGACAGGAGCTTGGGACATGATGCAGTGCCAGGTAATGCATATGCCTCATCTATATTAAAAAAAAATATAATAATAATAACTTATTTTCAGGGACGACATTGTGAACGCATGTAATAAGTCATATTTAGGAATCAGTTTTGGGACGGCCATTTTAAAACCGAACTGAAGAGGGTAGAGTAAGTTTCGGGTGCCTAAGTACAATACGAGTATGGGTTGTTATCCGAGAAATTCATTGATTTACAAATAGCGTTGGTAAGAGCGGCAGTTCTGTAATGAGAAGTGTCTTGGCCTGAAATATCTCCCTTTCAAAACGGGAGGACTACTGCAATTTTTCATTGACGAGGCAAACAGCTGCACCAAACCCAACTGATAAAAGAAAGTGCATGAAGAAGAATAGTTGTGTTGAGTGAAGGTGTTGAATTACATGAACACGGATGTCATCCAGCCCAGCTGATGTTTTTGGCACTGATAGTATCAGTGTAAGTTCGCTGAGTGTGAAGGAGAAGTTGTAAAGTTTCTAAGTATGAGATGTATACCTCTAGTGGGGGTAGATTCCCACTGGGATCGTACTGAAGGAAAGACGAGCAAAAATGTAACCCTTGAGAAACACAAAATTCAGTCCGGGTTTGTTGTGGTTTTATCCTACTTGTGGTACAACGTAGTACCAGTGAAGACTTAAGTCTAATCAGCGTCTTGCTTACCAGAGTTAAAAATGGAACAATACAAGAAGCAGAGTAGTTAAGGATGGAATAAAAATTTGTGCAGAATATCATGGCACTTGAAGTGACATGATATTCTGTAAAAGTACAAAACCAGAGATAATTTTTGCTAGTATGTAGTTTTCGTTCTTGTAAGTACAGGAGAAAACTGGGAGAACAACATGAGGAGGTCTTCCAATTTCTTCTATATTCTCTATTAGACTGGTGTTACATTGTTACTAGAAATATATCTGTCAGAGCAGGTACTGGCTAGGTACTAATGAGGTTGGTTAGGTTAGGTAAGGTTCGTCAGGAAACAGAACAAGTGTTTCCTGACGCGGGTCTTAGTCAGATGATGACCCGCCATTGGAGCTTTTGGTCATCTGACCGAGGCCTTCCGCTGGCCTACCGGTCCACCCCTTTAAAAATTATGATCACTTATAACCACTGTTATTGATAGTGGTTATGAGGTTGGTAAAGTCGATATATGGTGGCAGTGGGAATATTAGTAATAAGAAATTTGTGAGTGGTAAATTGTAAGGAGTGAGATGTGTGGTAGTTAAGTGTGTAGGAACCGAGGGAGACGAGAATCTGAATTTAATGCATTGTTACGGCCAACTTTTTATGGTATATTTATGCATTTAGGTTTATATGAAGACCGTGTTGATTATCCTCGCTGAAGTTGAGATTTCATCTAGGTTCATTCCTGGATTTATCTGAAGTGCCGATATGACATCGGCACTTCAGGGAAGTGGGAAGTAGAGTGACGCAAGGGAAAGAAGAGGCTGTGAGGTGTTTGATGTCACTTAAAACAGAGAAATCTGTGTTGATAAACGCAAGGTAGTGAATAAATCGGGGACATGGGTGCATATATTTCTGGGACTACCAAAGGTGATAATGGCTGAGATAGTCAGATCAAAAATATACAAGGCGTGAGAGGACTAGTGGTTGGTAAGGCTATCCGTAGATGTAAGTTTTCACTCTTTTTTTTCTTTGAGATTGTAGTGTAAATGATGAAACAAAATAAAAGGTGAATAAGACTATATAGGCTGGGAGGTAGTAAAGTGTCAGTAGGTGAAGACGTAGGAACACTAGATATGAGAGCTTCATAGTGTTGAACCTGGATTGCTAATCAACACTAAGTGCTGAGTGTGTCTGGCAGCTCAGGACTAGGATCTTTTTTATTTGTTTTATTTTTGGGGGGAGGGGAATTAACTGGGTCATTATCTAATTATAAAATAGGTCTTCTTTTCCATCAAATAGGGTATTTCATTTTCTAAAAGAAAAATTGGGCACGGACAGGAACACATCGGGTGTGCTTCACAATTAGGGCACGAGGGAAGGTGGTCACAGGATGTATCATTTTACGTTCTGTTGCTCTGCAGATATATACTAAGGATGGGACTTCTCGGCACTCGAAAATTTGTTGAGCTACATTGCTAAAGTCTAATTTTATCCTTGACTTGCTCTTGAATATGTGGGCCACATTCTGTAAAATCTTGTTGAGTTATAGTGTGTGCGAGGGCAATCAAGGCAGGTGAAACTGCAAATGTAGAGAATGTACAGAGGACCTTCAATGCATGTATTAGTTCAGTCAAGCTCTTTAAATACTGGGAACATCTAAAGTCCATTGACCTGTACTCCCTGGAATGCAGGCGAGAAAGATACAACATAATGTACACCTGGAAAATCCTGAAGGGTCTTGTCCCAAATCTGCACATAATCACTCCTTAAAAAAGAAAAAAAATAGTCAGATGGTGCAACATACCCCTAATGAAAAGCAGAGGCATCATAGGTACAGTATGAGAAAACAAAATAGGTCTAGGGCCCAAGACAGTTCAACAGCCTCCCACCAGGCATAAGGGGAATAAACAACAGATCCCTGGCTGCCTTCAAGAGGGAATTGGACAGATACCTAAATTCAGTACCCGATCAGCCGGGCTGTGGTTCTTACGTTGGATTACGTGCGACCAGCAGTAACAGCATGGTAGATTAGTCCCTGATTCACATGGAGGCCTGGTCAAGGACTGGGCCGCGGGGGAGTTGACCCTCAGAACGACCTCCAGGTATACTCTAGGTAGGGAAGTAGATGTTGAAGTTGTATGATGTTGACTTTGTGAGAACACACAGCTGTGTCTCACAATACAAGGTGATCTTTCCTCTTCTTAGGTGACTGACTTCTATATGAGGGAACAAACAAGTTAGTGTAAGTCATGTTAAAAACTTCTGGCTCACTCTCTGTATTTTAAAATCTCGTCAGAATTTTATTTAAAATAATTGTAACGCACTGCACTACTTTCAGCTCCAGAGGTTTTGGCCCAGAAACCGTATGGCAAAGCGGTAGATGTCTGGAGTATAGGTGTGATAGCCTATATTCTTCTATGTGGTTATCCTCCTTTCTACGACGAAAATGATGCCAATCTTTTTGCACAGATTCTTAAAGGTAAGCCACGATATCAATTTCATTCAAATATTTATTGTTGTAAAAATTCATTGGTTATATTTTTTGCTATTAAGCTGTCTCTTAAGATGTCATAATGCGGTGTCCTGGAGCTCGGTTGCTAGCGCACTCAGCTCACACATTCGATCCTTGGTGCACTGGAGATATTAGGACGTGTTTCCTTAAGACAGCCGCTGTCCCTGTTCAGGTAGCAGTAAATAGGTACCTGGGTGTTAGCCGACTGATATTAATCGCATTCTGGGGGCAAAATAAACCTAATTTCCCTGAAATACTCTGCATAACCAGAGGCTTTCTGTATAGTATGGCATTGATTATTATTATTATTATTATTATTATTATTATTATTATTATTATTATTATTATTATTACATATAACATCTTAAGAGACAACTTGCTTGTCTTGAACTCATGAGATGAGACGATGTAACGCTGCAGGTAACTGCATCCTGGCACTACACAAACACTGGCACTGAAACGGCATAATTAATGATGAGCTAAACAGTGTCTATATTTGGATCACAAACAAGCTAACACACTTAATATAGATGAAACCTAGGCAATGTACTACACTTGAAAAACAACCAAACAACCAGTCACATTATTACAACCCAGGAGTCCCAAAGGCCTGTTATCCTGGGTGTAAAGGGAGCAAAATAAACACAGTAGAAAAACTTTTGACTTGTATTATCCTTCACCAATTTAGAATAGAAGTATGCACACTATATACACTATGTACAACAATAGGTATTAGTGCACTCCACGGTAAGCAAGGCAGAATAGAAGCCACTAGAGAGCAGACCATGCTTCAACCAGCTCTAGAATGGGAGTGACAATGGCAGACGGGTGAGTGGTACCCACATCACTTCTGCGATTGCCAAAACCATCTTCTCATTGGCTGGAACCTGGGTACTGATTGAACGACGGGGCCCTATCATCAACCCTTAGTAACTGGTTCGCTGGTTGGGGGAGATAGCCTTTCAATGAGGGTGTGTACATGTGGCGAATAAAGGTTATGTACTCTTTGCATGCCACACCCCCACCCCGAGAGGGCTCAGGATTAGGCTCCCACCTCCCATTGGTAACCGTGCTGCCATGGCACCATATAATGGGACCGCCTTTCCTCTCAACCATCCAACTCTTAGAGCTCAACTTTATTCATGACAAAAAGTCAAACCCTAAACTTAGAGCGAGACAGCAGACAATCGGGCTAACATAGGTCCAAAGTGTGGGAGGACGGTATCCCGCACTCCCTCACTAAAAAAAAAAAAAAAAACACAAGGGGACAAAAAAAAAAGAGCTTAAAAACGGTTACACATCCTAACCTAATATATAATTATAATTATAATTTTTAGATTCTAGATAGAGAGTCTGCCAACTTATTTTCTTTGCTGGCAATGTGTAATATTCTGAGAATAGGGTTGCAGTCGTAGACTCCATCTCATGAGCCTCGTATTGTGGTTCTTCATGGCTTGGAGATATGCTAGAGGGTTGTGGTCACTATAGACAGTGGCCACCTGGAAAGTCTGGCCCACGTAAACATCGAAGTGCTTCAAAGTTAGTACCAGCGCAAGGGCTTCTTTTTCAATAGTAGAGTAAGCCCTCTGGTGCAGCTGGAACTTTAGTGAGAAGAAGGCTACAGGCTGCAACTCCTCGTCCCCATTTTGCAACAGTACTGCCCCAACCCCAGACTCACAAGCATCAACCTGTAATGAAAAAGGTTTGGAGAAGTCTAGAGACAAAAGAATGGGTGCAGTACACAATAATCTTTTTGCTTTCGTAAAAGCATTTTGACATTCTAGGGTTCAATTAAAGGGAACTTTGTGACTGGTAAGAAAGGTAAGAGGGGCTACAATGTCTGAAAAATTTCTACAGAATTTTCTGTAAAACCCTATCATGTCTAGGAAACGTTGAAGAGATTTCCTATCATGGGGAATTGGGGAATCTTTAATAGTAAGAACTTTAGCAAATTTAGGAGCAACTTGGCCACTACCTACTTCATGGCCTAGAAAAGTAATAGTGGCCTGGCCAAAGGAAGACTTAGATAAATTAACAGTTAAATGGGAACTCTAAAAGTTCTCAAAGAGAGCCTTAAGTCTAAATAGGTGTTGATCCCAAGTATGTATCAGACACCACTACGATGTCATCCAGGTACACTGCTGTGCCTTCAAGTCCTTTAATAGCCTGATGGATAAGTTTCTGGAATGAAGAGGGGGAGTTTTTCATTCCGAAGGGGGTAACTGTATATTGATAATGACCTCCTGGAATTATGAAGGCAGAGATTTCCTTCACCTTATCCGTTAAAGGTACCTGATAGTAATCTTTAAGGTGATCTAACTTGGACACAAAAGTAGCCTTACTCACAAAGTCAATTATGTCATCCAGACGAGGAAGAGGGTAAGCATCTGTGATTGTGACCTCATTCACCTTACGGTAGTCTGTACACATACGAAAACCTCCATCAGCCTTTTTAACAAGGATGCACGGTGAAGCCCATGGACTAGATGACTCCTCCACTAACCCATGCTCTAACAGAAATTCTTCCTCCTGCTGAAGTAGCTTCTGCTTTTCAAGATTAGCTCTGTAGGGGGAGAGTTTAATAGGTTTAGAGTTTCCCACATCTATGTCACGATAACCTAACGTACATTTTCTCGGCACATCCAAAATAATATCAGGGTATGACTGTAGAAGCACAGTTAAACTTGTTGCTTGAGTTTCAGATAGTCCCGCCATTAAAGGGCTAGGGTCCTTGAGGAGGACAGAGTTTAGAAGCTTGACATTAATTTCAAAAATAGAGTGCAAAGAGTCAGAGTCGTCCTCAGAGGTAGAGAACAGAGTCATTACTGGGACTTTATCTGGTGTATGAAAAGATTTTAATTGATTAATGTGGTAAGTTGTAGTTTTTGAGGTCTTATCAAGGGGAGATACCACATAATTTACATCAGGTAATTTACTTACAATTTGCATAGGTCCCGTAAATCTAGCTTTCAAGGTGTGGCCAGGTATAGGTTCCTGTACCAACACCTTGTCTCCTGGATGGAAGGAGCAGAATTGTGCATTTCTGTCATACCTCTGTTTCATCTTATTTTGAGCTGCCTTTAGGTTAGCCTTGGCTATCTGATGTGCCACCTGCAACCTTGAAGATGGGTTGTAGTGTGTTGACCTAACATCTTCTCCCATCCATCCTTCTTTGAGCACCCGAAGAGGACCTCGTACATTGTGCCCAAAGATCAGCTCAAACGAACTGTACCCGGTAGACTCCTGCACAGTTTCTCTTATTGAAAACAGCAACAAAGGTAGTGATTCATCCCAATATGTAGGAAAATGCATACAAAAAGTTCTCATCATGGTTTTCAGCGTCTGATGGAATCTTTCCAAGGTGCCTTGGGACTGAGGATGATAGGCAATGGATAAGTTGTGGATTATCCCTAACCTAGTTAATGCTTCCCTAAATGCTTTGGCAGTGAAGTTAGTACCTTGATCACTTTGAATAGTTTTAGGAATGCCAAAACAAGAAATAAATCTGGTTAAAGCCTTGAGAATGGCTTTAGTATTAATACTGCGCATGGGAATTGCTTCAGGGTATCTAGTTACTCTATCCATAATGGTAAATAAGTACTGATTTCCAGACTTTGGCTTAGGTAGTGGACCTACACAATCTGTAATTAATTCTGCAAAAGGTTCTCCATCAGCAGGTATAGGCTGGAGAGGTGCAGGTTTAATGGAACGTCCAGGTTTCCCTACTTGCTGACATTCTCGGCAACACCGGATATAATTCTTCACATCCTGCCTTAATTTTGGCCAATAAAATTCTTTTGTGATTCTATATAATGTTTTAGTAATTCCTAGGTGACCTCCTAATGATGTATTATGAACTATATTCAATATTTGAGGTCTAAACTTTGTTGGAACCACTAACTTGTCTGACAGTTGCTGGCCCTCTATCTCCTTACCAGTCTCAGTGCAGATCAAATAGTCGTTTTTAAGTTTATACTTGACCGGATGATCTGAAAAGGATTTACCCATGGCTGCCTGAAAAGCGAAATTCAAAGAAGGGTCCTTTCATTGTTCCTCCCGGAAGGACAGTCCCTTGGGCATGGAAACAGAGATATCTGGCAATCCTGCAATCCTGAAATAGGAAGGCTTGATCTGGGTCTGTTCACTTAATTTACGAGGCCCTGGCCAGTTTTCCTCATAAAGCAAATTGGCTATTCCGAGATCAGAGTCATCCAAGGATAGGTCAGCATTCTCGCCAGACAACCCTTGGCCAACACCAGAGAAGAATTGATCGTTGGGTTCAGGACATACACTAGCAGTGGTAATGTTATTACCCAGTAATATGGCATCTTTCATGGGGAATCCCTCGGATACACCCACAGTCAAGTATCCAGTGAAATATTTGCACTGTACATAAATTCTATGCAAGGGGACAGAAAATATCACTCCGAATGCTTTCAGCAAAACAAAGGATTGCAATGAGGTGTTCTCGGAAAGGGAAAGTACTCCCTCTCTTATAAGTGAGCAATATGCTCCAGTATCTCTAAAGTTTCTGACTTCAGTTGTTTTTGAGTCTTCCTGAAGGGAAATATGACTCTGACAGTAATAAGGGGCCATCCCTTTCTCTACTTCTTTCAGGGACATGTTACTAGGGACACTATAGATTTTTCCCAAGGGTTGGGGTTTTTGGGGGCAGTTGGGAAGGATGTGACCTACTTTATTACAGAGGAAGCAGATGACAGGCTTGCCCTTAACTCTCTGCTGACGCTGCAACTGGTGTCGCTCTGGCTGGTGTCTCTCTGGATACTGTTGTCGAGTTGCACCATGTTGAGTGGTTTGTCTCTCACCAGGTGGACCATAAGTTGAGTAGCGTGGCTCACCAGGGGACTTAGTTGGCTGACGTAGACATTCTCCGGCTGGCACTTCATCCTCCAAGGTTGACGATCTCTGCTCATGCCAGGCTGTTGAAAAGAGATGGGACTGCTCGG